AAAAACAACTCAGTCACGATGCTGGCGCTGGCCGTATATCTTATGTTGGGAATTTTAGTTCAGCTCTCGTCTGCTGCCCAAGGTAACTGATTATGGAACAGTTTATTACTAATTTTTGTCCAGTATTACGTTAAGGATACTTTCTGGGTGGTCAATCATATCTTTCAACCATCTGCGTAGCGTTCTAATGTGTTAGTGCTATATTGATATTTTAATAATTTTTAATCCAAACTATGACCTGAAAGACAGAAAAAAGAAGTATTTCATTTTTTTCTGGTTTAACGGGCAATATACGGTATAATGAATGAGTGTTTCATTGAAGAACAGCATTAATATGTCTGTGTTAGAACACGGTAGGCTTGAACTTATTTTCATACAAAGGCGCTTTTTTAAACTTTGAAATAGTGCATAATGACAGTGGAAATTTTGATGACATTTAAATAGTGACNGATGCCCTCGATCTTCACTGAAGCTTGTCTAAATGGACAGGCTTCAGTGATCATCATATCGCCACGGTCACATAACATCCCTAGGTATAATGCCACAGTGATATTACACTGGTAGAATTGAGTCCAACGCCTTAATGTTCACGACTCTCTGACGAGTTACGTTATACTGATATGGAAAACCCGTCCTTTTCTCAATAATAACACTAAATAGAATGTACTAGAATATACATGGAAATATCTTTTAAGAGGAAAAGATAGCCGCGAAGGACGCTCTTAGTGTTAACTTATTGGTACATGTACTACATATAAGTGCAAATAAATGTGTGTATCACATTTGGATATTGTGCATGGGGGGGGGGGGGGGGGGGGGCAAAAAATTAGTGGTGACCAGAATCCAGGCTTTTGTTTCGGCAGGGGACAAGAAAAAATAACAATCGAATTTAGGCAAATGAAAACAGTACTGGATGACGAGGTGGCTTTACCACTACCCTCTACAAGGGCGACTGATAGATTTTTACAGATATTCACAAATATGTCTCTAGCTAGATAGATGGTCATTCTGGGCTTCAGCTTTACCCATGATATTAAAGAGTACAATGGGATCAAAGGCGGTTCACTCACAACAGGCGTGTTTTAGTTTTAGCAAGACCCTAAGGAGAGAGGGAAAAACATTCAAAGTGTAGTAACTGGTGCGATTTCCACATAAGCAATTGCAGCGATGGACATTTAGAATAAAACATACAGTATTTTGCAAATAATTCCATCGAGAAGATATCATTTTTCTGCTGAATACGGTTAACAGGTGGTATGACGTGCTGTTTTACCGGAAAAGGCTACTGAATCAATTCAAGTTCGTTGGCTTTCATCGACAGGCCTGCTCGGAGCGTTTCTAGTTAGATGACTTCAGATGCTTTCATTTTCATTTTGTTTTGCACCGAGATAACGTTTGCTTTCACCTCTGACGATATACAGCACGATGAGGTCCACAGCTATTCACACCTGGGCGGTTTTAGTATTGAGCAGTTTTTCCTCTTTGAAATGTCCACTGCGGACTTGCCCCGGGTACTGTATGAACATATGAACAGTCTTGAGAAGCAAGGGTGCAAGATAGGAAAGGAGGGGCATGAAAAGACTAAATGTGTGCTTGTTTAAAGGCAAAGAGTCGACGCGACTTTTGTTAAACAATAACAATTTTCTCTCTGATAATCCTACCGAGAAGATAGCACATTTTGATTTTGCTCAATTTAAGTGCAAGATCTGTGGCACCAATTTAAGTACTTTTAACTGAAGAGAAAGGAAATGTTATTGACGACGCAGACTTAATTCTAATGACCATACCAGCAATATGTTCGTTTTAAATCGATCACTTAATGTAAACTTTCTAAAGCAAACCGTGTTTTTATGCAAAGCTAATTTGCCAGGACCCAAGAGAGCCCAGATCCGTTCTCGTGACATCCCGATTCAAGGGCCCGGTCGTTGTCGTGATGGAGTGACGTGCCTCATCCGGGGTTCGAACTCGTGACTTTGCGTTGCCATGGTTGATGTCGCTTTGGGTACCTCGTTTGCATCCAAGCACGCTACCGACTGCGCCGTGACAGACCCGCCATCCCTCCATACGTACGAGTTTCCTCTTATAGTAACCAATCGGAATTTTTAAGATTTAATTCCGGTTAGAAAAATTACTATATTTGCTGGGTCTCGAACCAGCTTACCAGTGTGTGTCTGATTAGGAGACAGCAAAGTTACCACGGAGCCACGTCAGCTTCGTTGGTATATAGTGATCGGATGGAAACTTTCAACCTTGCCAAGGACTGGGCCAGGTTGGATGTACATGTGGATATCTGCTTTCCCGATCGATAATCCGGGTGCCGCATTTCATTTCACGCAACCCCAGTCCCCGACCACGGTTTACCATGAACGGTAAAATTCATGATGTTCAGGAAGCCATGCGTGTTTGAGAACCCGACATGGAACTGAGAGTTTGTTTTATACTTTGATTAATTTTGGCTTTACCCATGATATTAAAGAGTACAATGGGATCAAAGGCGGTTCACTCACAACAGGCGTGTTTTACTTTTAGCGAGACCCTAAGAAGAGAGGGGAAAACATTCAAATGTGTAGTAACTGGTGCGATTTCCACATAAGCAATTGCAGCGATGGAAATTCTGAATAAAACATACAGTATTTTGCAAATAATTCCATCGAGAGGATATCATTTTTCTGCTGAACACGGTGAACAGGTGGTATGACATGCTGTTTTACCGGAAAAGGCTACTGAATCAATTCAAGTTCGTTGGCTTTCATCGACAGGCCTGCTCGGAACGTTACTAGTTAGATGACTTCAGATGCTTTATTTTCATTTTGTTTTGCACCGAGATAACGTTTGCTTTCACCTCTGACGATATACAGCACGATGAGGTCCACAGCTATTCACACCTGGGCGGTTTTGGTATTGAGCAGTCTTTCCTCTTTGAAATGTCCACTGCGGACTTGCCCCGGGTACTGTATGAACATATGAACAGACTTGAGAAGCAAGGGTGCAAGATAGGAAAGGAGGGGCATGAAAAGACAAAATGTGTGCTTGTAAAAAGCAATAGAGCGACGCGACTTTTGTTAAACAATAACAATTTTCTCTCTGATAATCCTACCGAGAAGATAGCACATTTTGATTTTGCTCAATTTAAGTGCAAGATCTGTGGCACCAATCTAAGTACTTTTAACTGAAGAGAAAGGAAATGATATTGACGACGCAGACTTTATTCTAATGACCATACCATCAATATCGTTCGTTTTAAATCGATCACTTAATGTAAACTTTCTAAAGCATACCGTGTTTTTATGCAAAAGGTAAGTTGCTAGGACCCACGAGAGCCCAGATTCGTTCTCGTGACATCCCGATTCAGGGGCCCGGTCGCTGTCGTGTTGTAGTGACGTGCCTCATCCGGGATTCGAACTCGTGACTTTGCGTTGCCATGGTTGATATCGCTTTGGGTACCTCACTTGCATCCAAGCACGCTACTGACTGCGCCGTGACAGACCCACCCATCCCTCCCTACGTACGAGTTTCCCCTTATAGTAACCAATCGGAATTTTTAAGATTTAATTCCGGTTAGAAAAAAGTTACTACATGTGCTGGGTCTCGAACCAGCGTACCAGTGTCTGTCTGACAACGAAACAGCAAAGTTACCACGGAGCCACGTCAGCTTCGTTGTCACGGACAGGGCCAGGTTGGATGTACATGTGTATATCTGCTTTCCCGATCGATAATCCGGGTGCTGCATTTCATCCCACGCAACCCCAGTCCCCAACCACGGTTTATCATGAACGGTAAAATTTATGATGTACAGGAAGCGAGACCCTAAGAAGAGAGGGAAAAAACATTCAAATGTGTGGTATGACGTGCTGTTTTACCGGAAATGGTATGTCTTGTTCTTCATATTTTATGTGTGTGTGTGTGTGTGTGTGTGTTTGTGTGTATGTGTGTTCGCGCTCGCGTGCGTTTGTGTGGGTTTGTGGATGGGTGGGTGATAGAGGGGGAAAAGTGCGGGACCTCTACATTGTATAACCGATGTCACATACGATACTCACACGAAGTGGTCATATGTTGCACCCCCACCTTTAATAATTACATATTTTTTTAGTTAATTTTAATTGTGTCACTATAATATATTAGCCTTATCGCATAATTATTTTTTAAATCCCCATGACAAAACATCCCGGTGACTCCCTTCGCCACATAAGTTTTCATGTAATTATTAAACAGAGCAAAAAATGTCCCTATTTCTGTAGAATTATAAAGTATCTTAACATACGTCTTTACGCTAGGTGTGACAGAGCATTAATATAGGCTTAAACTAAAATTTGAATCATAGCTGCTTTTCTTCCCCAGTCAAAAGGATTTCTATCATGTCCACATTTCAGTTTAGCATACAATAACAAGCGTGTACAGCAGTGTTAAAATACCCCGACATAATCAGTAGAAGTTGGTAGCTACATGTATCATCACTCCGAGCTGATAATTTCCTGTAACATCTGAATTGATCATTCAATCAAATGACCATTTTTAATTATTTTCTCTACATTAAGACCCGAAGGGCCTGGAAATGGAACCTTGGTTTAAAAAAATTGATACACATAAAGTTAAATAATTTATCATTTCACGCCGCGCTTATTGCAATTAAATCATAAAATAGGAAGGCAACACAGATGCCAAATGGACGTTATCGTTTCTAAAATGTTCCGTCTTCCCCGATTACAGTCCAATTATCCCAGACATAATTCTGATACTTATCAAAAGCAGGAGCTGGTTTCTGGTAAGGTTTTAATGTGCCCGAAGTGAGTAACGTGGGACCATTTCATATATGCTATTATTTAATTGCTGTTAAATACCGTTACCTAACACTCCTCTATATTTTTTGTTATCTTCGATTATGTCCTGAACGTGTGATGAACGTTAGCAAAAATCATGAGTTCATTGGTAATTATCATAAGTAATTATGTAGGGTTTACTCAGTCTTTTTTCGACACGTAGCACTGGGCACATACACCATTCGATATAAAGCCCGCGCTACTTGTAGTTTATATCATTGCTGTACGCTTGGCGAGCAACCATCATATTTTGGAGGAAAAACAACTCAGTAACGATGCTGGCGCTGGCCGTATATCTTATGTTGGGAATTTTAGTTCAGCTCTCGTCTGCTGCCCAAGGTAACTGATTATGGAACAGTTTATTACTAATTTTTGTCCAGTATTACGTTAAGGATACTTTCTGGGTGGTCAATCATGTCTTTCAACCATCTGCGTAGCGTTCTAATGTGTTAGTGCTATATTGATATTTTAATAATTTTTAATCCAAACTATGACCTGAAAGACAGAAAAAAGAAGTATTTCAATTTTTTCCTGGTTTAACGGGCAATATACGGTATAATGAATGAGTGTTTCATTGAAGAACAGCATTAATATGTCTGTGTTAGAACACGGTAGGCTTGAACTTATTTTCATACAAAGGCGCTTTTTTAAACTTTGAAATAGTGCATAATGACAGTGGAAATTTTGATGACATTTATATAGTGACTTTTAAATTCTATTNCTGGTTTAACGGGCAATATACGGTATAATGAATGAGTGTTTCATTGAAGAACAGCATTAATATGTCTGTGTTAGAACACGGTAGGCTTGAACTTATTTTCATACAAAGGCGCTTTTTTAAACTTTGAAATAGTGCATAATGACAGTGGAAATTTTGATGACATTTAAATAGTGACTTTTAAATTCTATTTTGCAGTAAATAAATAAATAAAGAAAGAAAGAAATGATAACATTTTGCGCTTCAAAACTTTTTTCAGTCGGCGAATGTGACCCGAACCGGAGCACAAACCAATACCTACGGGACGACAGCAACCGGTGTTACTTCTACCAGTGCGAATTCCAAAACTCTCCCCATCTGCGGGCCAGGCGCATCAAGTGCCCCAGTCACTATGTTGTCCCTACCAACTATGGGGTAGGGATCCCAGATACACTCAATCCTTGCCGCCATAAGTCCTACAACAAATGGGAGTGCGAGGAGAGCGGGTCGTGGTCCCAGTGGAGCAGCTGGTCACGCTGTTCGGCCACCTGTGGAAAGGGGAGACAGGGACGGACTAGACAGTGTCGGGGACCGTCGGGGGTAATGTGTCCCGGACTTCTTAGGGAAGACCGTGATTGCATGATAAGGCCTTGTGAGTATTACTTTAAGTTGATTTTGTCGTCAGTTGATGTTTCCTATCCTTTACCAGGGCCGCAGATTGATTTTTCACTAGATATTCACAAAGTTGTCTCTGGTTAATTATGTGCATTTTTTTCTGAGTCGCGTTAGAGTAGAAAATTGTGTCATTGACTTCATGTTTTTCATGTTTATACTGTGAATATCAAGTGAAAAACCAATTTCTGGACCTGGTAAAGGGTGAAGTTTTCCAGAGTTGGGAATCAAGGTGTATACCATGCTGTCACTTCAACTTGAGTGATTTTAAACTTTTTAAAAAGTTAAAAATGGCAAACTTTGAGACTATAATAATTGTTTACTATTGAATCTACTAGAAGTGCATCTTTTATTCTTATTGTTGACTGTGTATTAATATCAAACGCTGTGGATTTAAGCTTTTTGAAAAAATCTAACATGTGTGAGCAGAAGTCATAACCGTTCCGGTTCTATTTGGTACCTACCGTAAGCTTCTTATAGTATGCGTTTTGTTACAAAAGTGGTTTTTTTAAAGGAGGATTGTTTTTTACAGGTTATGGTGAGTACGTTGAAAAGGACTTCGGCTAAGATGGACAACAAATGGTACTAACAAGATGGATAATGGACCCAAATTTGATTTTTATTGATTCCAAAGCATACACTGTAGCTCTGTTACAGATACCTCGCTTATACTGCATTATAAAATGTTCTTAACTTTGGATACCAACATGTATGGTCTGATCTTGCACTTACTGATTTCTTGAATTATGAAATTATCGATTTTAAAACTTAGTTTCACCACAACATTTATGCTGTCGAAATGCTTTTCATTCTAGATATATTTTTAACCATAAGATGCACATAAAATTTAAAAATAAACGTATGCCATATAGCATCTTCAAGCATACAAGAGTCATGTTATACTTCACATGCAAGTGAAAGACGTAAGGCATATTTAAAAACAAGCGACTAAGAAGAATTATGTGCACACAGTCTTGCATTCAATTTTAAACACCTTCACGTGAAAGGTACCGTAACAGCCCTTTACTTCAAAACAACTTCCGCCAGGGCACATGGTGTATTTCCCCGCCGCAACACACTTGCTCGCAGTCTTAATGCGCTCTACCGAGGCAAAGCGGACCATGGGTTGGGCATAGCAAAGATGGGAGACGGGTGGGTCCGCCTCCGCCATTGTTGCATTCCCGCACTCCATAATTATACAGTCTTGGATTGGTTCGCACTGTCGGTGGCACTCGGTGCCTGAGTTTGCTGAAATGATGAATTAGTAAAAAATGAAGTGGCAGTTTATCAGTCATATTCGTGATGATGGAAAAAACTGGCAATTGTTCAGCTTGCACCGAAAACACTTGTAAAACTAGTCTTGTTTAATGCTGGCTACAGGAGATATATAAGACACCGTACCTGTACGTACACTGTAGAAGCACACGCTAGTGACATATTCTAACGCTACTTGTGTATAAATTTGATGTCTTTTGGTGGCGTCGTTTGACATAAGCGGTCATTTTTACCTCTATGAAAATCACTGTGGAAAATCGTTTGGGGGTGCATATTCTTAATTTGAACTAATGGCATAACATAAGGCTATCGTCAAAGGTATTTTGGCTTTTCTTATCCCTAAGTCATGTTAGATTTTGTATATGGAATAAAAAGAAAACATTGTCAGAACAGTTTCTAGCTGCCATGCAATCATTCGTAAACAAATTCACATAGGACTAAAGGTGGGTCAACCTTTTTGACCAAGAGTATATAATCAGTCGCCTTTGGCTCGCTATTTACATGTAGGCCTTATCCATCAAGAAAACCAAGGCACTGCTGAATAAATGAATAAAATTCCTTGCTCTGCAGGTGCGTTTATCGAGTGGAAAATGAAAATCGCTACCTGTCATACAATGAATCCCATTAAACAGGGATTTAGCATTTAAATGTGTATTTTATTCAATATGGCTTGGGTCAAGAGTGCATGAACTGGTCTCTTGCCATTTTTGAAAACAACATCATTAAGTTGATAATGCTTTTTTAATGTCACAATCTAACGCATGGTACATGTAGCTGTTTAATGATGAAAGATATAACACAAACAAGCAAAACAAACAAAAAAAATATATATATATATATATTTAAAGAGGCAGAAAAGACACTGTCATGTAGTCAATTTAAAGCAAATTTTGCTAAAAATGTATCAGTGAAAAATTAAAGACTGGTTATGGATATGAAATATGTTTAGGTCAGGCGTGCCGTGCCTTGAAAATATAATGCGCCTGTAACTTTTTGTCTACTACGCATTTGTAAAAAATATGATTTATTTCAATTAATATTTTAATATTTTAAATATTAAAATACTTCGATTAATGAAGGGTACAACTTAGAAAATCTAATGAACTCTTCTTAGGGATGCACAAGGAACCTAAACCCGTCCTCAACTTCACCGGACAGGATTTGAAATGCAACTGCAGCCGACAGCAACAGAATCGTAAATAAAATGTGTACATGGTTCTTGATTCTGCATAGATTAGCGGTATACGGGGTAAACAACTTAAGTACAGTACACAAGAACATTTTCCAATTTATTGACTTGGACGTTGTTTCATAAACATTAATACAGCCAGGTAAAGCAAAAAAAAAAAAAAAATAATAATAATAATAAAAATAAAATAAAATAAATAAATTAAATAAAATAATGAAAATAAATTAATAAAATAATAAAAAAATTAAAAAAATTAAAAAATGCAGACTAATTAAAAATAAATGCATAGACTATGCATATCTAGTTTTTGAAGTATTCAACACGTTTAAGCACCAGGGTGTACAAATTACCTTGATCGTTCGACTCAGCTGCAAGATGATCGGCAGGGGATTGCCCATCGTCGTCGTTTTCCTTGTCGTCTTGGAAATCATCTACATCATGCGAATCATCTATAATTTTCTTAAGTACCTCCTCCAAAAGGCTGAGCTTCTCGTCGTCATCGTCGATCGCGCGCCGTGGATTACCTGTCGTTTGGTAACTAGAGTAACTGGACGCACAGGTAACAAAAGCAACGGACAGAAGGACGCGTAAACTCCATGACACCCTCATGATGACTGGCGTGGCGTGGCGTTGTCGAGTTAGTTTTGGTTTGGGTTCGGTCGGGTAGAGTTGCCGCGTAGTTGCTTAGATATACGGCAACATTATGATGCAAAGCGGTGCCATTATTGATATAATGAAGTACAAAAATGTTTTTTATCATACCAAATACATTTATATTTACTGAATTCGCCTCATTTTACTCCATGTGCTGATATAGGAGAAATTCCGGTTTTCATAATGTTTTCTTTTCAGTGGACAAGGCAACCACAATGCTTATTTTTATTGTGTTTCGTGTGCAGAGTGAATAATAACAACACCCAACCTTACCGGTATTCACTGCTGAAAACCACAGAATGACCTTGGCAAACACGAAAAATGTTGACTGACGAGTTGAAACCAGCACAGATACCAAACATCTGCGCATGTCCAAAATAAACAAAATGGCAAAGTTGACAAAGCCTGCCAGTGTTTACCGTCTGGTTGATTTGATTTAATTTGCTTTGCGGTGTCGTTTGGAAAAGTATATTGGACAATTTTGTTGAACGTATGTATAAAAAACTAAATCCAACAGACTTTGCTAAAATGACATTTACATATATTATTCTGTGCTACAGTTATTATTGTAAGGGGATTCCCTTTCCATTAAAAGTGTTTTATGACGCCCCAAAGAACCTCCCCTTGACAAGAATATCCTCCATCTGTCAAAGTAAAAATAATATTGCATTTCTGTATTTCTGCTTTTTAGCAACAATTCCAATTACTGAGAAGTGAAGCAATAAGACTCGACGATAGCAGGCAGTTTGCAACCTCGCCAAAATTGAATTTTTTAAATGAAGTTTATAGCATGGCGTTAATCAAAATACTTCTTGATGGTTATTGAAATTAAATCATCAATAGTAATCTTCATTAGTAAAAAATAAATGACATACTACTGGAAAAATCTGAACAGAATCTGCACTTCGAGGTCTTGGAGACCTGTTCTCCCGGGATTGAAGTGATCTTAATTTGCGTTAGAAGACAAATATCGTTCAGCAGCCTTGCTATTCACGTGATGCTTTTAGACCAATGCAGCAGAGTCAACTTTACGTGGCTGGCAATTAAATTTTAACAGTTTAAACAAGACCCCGTTCCCAGAGATTAGATCGATCCAACTAGATCGACTGGGGGTTCACGCTAAATAGCTGTCGGCCGAGCGAGCACGCAAGTTAATTACCCCCTTACAGCTTGTAGTAGGCGGGACGGACATTTCAGCCGGATTATTTGACAGTAATCTAGTGAGATAGATCGATCTAAAATCTATGGAATGCGCCCTAAGGTACAGTGATACACGCAGTTAACCCAATGAGATTCTTTGCAAATAGCTAGGAACCTGGTCGTTGCGTATGTTGAGTAATGTGAGATCAAATTATCATCATCACCTTATCCTGAAAAGCGAAGCATACTGGTCAGAGACAAGACAGCCCCGTACTGTGATACTCAGGGTGATGGAGGGAGAATGCAGCTAAGATGTTAGGACCCATGAAAGAACATTTTAGATACAATTCAACATCAAACTTCTATAATAGGAGTGATAGGATTGGGAAGACGATATCTTGTGAAAGAAAAAAAGTCATTTTCAATCTTTTGACAAGGCCACTTCTTGTTTTATTCCTTTTTTGATGGTTGCAATAAAAAAATTAAAAAATACTTAAATACAATTTCCGGGCCAAATTGCAATTTGCTCAAAAATCTTTCTAAACGTATGTAATCGAAATGTTTTTATTACTATGTCCATTACTCATAAGTGTCAAATAAACAACCACCTGTTATGTTGTAACATAACCCAACAAATGCAGCGCTGCTCCGTTCATTTTACCTGTAGAACTTGTATTTTAACCAATGACATGTAAATAGCTACAATATCAATGATTTACATTGATTTCCATTACAATGATTAATGTCTTAAAGAGACCGTGTATTGTATTGTCCACAAACAAGTGTTTCGATATCATTAATAAATATACTTATTAAAAATAATAAATGACGGCAGAATGGCACCTTAATAGGTGTCGGCCCCTATCGGCGGTTCTCCGTACTTAATGACACGTACAGAACACGTTTTCCAATTTTCCTCTCAAAATATCACTTACCAAATTGAATAGGTGGGTTTATTTTCGTTTCAGGTTATTCTTTGAAAGGTTTATTACTTTTGTTTACATTAGGGCAATTCAACTGGATTTTGCTTTTTCTTAGAGCATTGGTTTACAAGTAGGTTCAGAAAATTGTATACCAGTATATAAAACAACAATAGATACAATATGTATAAAGCCCCCCTCTCTCTCTCGTACCTGTACAACATTATATTTAATTACATGTAACAGTATATTCATTCAAAATCTGAATTCTTAACAAACGTTTCTGTTCATAAAGAAACGTGTTGATGGAACATATCTGATTTCTGGTAAGTTGTAGGAGGCTTAACTGAAAACACTTTATCACCATATGTTTTAAAGCTTAATCTAACTAATAATTTCACAACCACATAAATGCCGTATAAAACCGGTATCTTTTCTGCACCCCGTCTACATAATGTATAAGTGTATAAGACGTTTGTTCAACAAACAAAATATATATATGTGCGCAACATTTAAAAAACCAAACAAGCTTGATTTCGAAAGGGTCCTCAAGTACGGAATTCGCAGCAACGCAGCAAAGAAATAAATCCTCTTCGCATCAGTGTCTGAGAACGACGCAAGGTGTCAGGGCAGTCGTCCAGCGCAATTATGATTGTGGCGGTGCAAGGTTTACCGCCTTGAAAACCCGCACAAACATACAACGGTAGTACACAATGTATCTGCCGTTAAAGCGTTTTTTTTTTTTTAACAGAAACGTTCTTTTGCGCTTTCCGTCAGCTTATATTCCCAGTGCATTACATCGTTCTCTTAACAAAGGTCTCACGACATCAAGAGAATATCATGTAGTTTTAAAAACACATTGTTTGTTCTGAATGATGTCCGTATTGTTTTACATATACAAGAGTACTTTACAATAAAAACTGTACATACGATAACGCTGTAACACCCAAACCCAATATAGAGGTGCAAACGATGTCACAGGCATGTTCCTGAAAATATGTAGTGCACAGATTACAAACTATGTTTGATTATTTTAGGGTCCCACATAAAGAAGTTTGTATTAAAGTTTCACTTTCCTGGAACCACGAATAATACAAAATAATTCATCATCTAACCCCAAAAAGGAACATACGTTACTGTCACAAATGCATAACGTCTAACTGTGGAAACGTTTTAATCACTTTGAAAATTCAATCATCACGGGTTTTGTTCTTTAATTTATCTCCTACAAGTATAACGTTGTAAAAAATTACGAAAAGCTTTTGTACAGAGCAGTTAATTGTTTTTTTGCGACTTAAGTTTGCCTGTCACTGAATATTAAAAAAACTGGGAAAATACACCCTACCGACAGTAAAATAAGCATTTAATAAATTATTTTTCCCCTCGTGCTCCAAATATTATATCTGAAATGTCAAACTATCATGAAATCATGATATATTTTTCTGGCAGCAAAAGAAAACATTGTTTTCTCTTGCACCAAGTACTTGTAGAAAATGAAACATTTTGTTAATTTTCCTAGGGAACATACGTTACCTAGTATTAGCTATGACGTAGGCCCCATTAGATACGGTTTAAATGTTTATAAAAAACGTCCTTACGTCATATTTAATTTAACATGATCGAATCACTTTAAAATATATAAGAACACGTTATGAAAATAAAAATTAGGTGGCCTGGAACATACGTTACCGGAACATACGTTACCAGTGAAAATCTACTTGTGCCCGAAACTGGCTCCGAAAGAAAAATTAGCTTCTGTTTGAGGTGTCAGGTGGTTCTTTCTGACGTCTGCTCGAGCTAAAGATTAGATGAGGTTAGTTACAAGTGTAAATAAATTAATAAAATCCTCAGTAACGATGTCAGCGAAGTGAATGATTTTGTCGTAATAAAAAATTTAATTCAAATACAGAAATGAATGTCAAAGACGGAAATAAATGTCAAACAAGACTATGGAAGGAAAAAATAATCGCCAACGAGCGCAGTGAGCGCAGTGCTAAATACATTGATACCGAACGGAACATCATAATTTCAGAAAAAATGCGAAACCAGAGCTGAGATTAAAAAAAATATATATATCGATCTCCTAAGAAAACGAGGGTGACGCTTATTTGGAAGCGAAAGAAAACGGGTTCAAAATACTATGTAGGCCTACCTTCCGCCTCGTTATAAATGTCGTGAAAGACAAAAGAGGCATGCGAAGACTAAATCGCAAAAACGTAGACTTCACCAAAGGAAAGAAGAGCTCCTAGCTGCTATAGAAGTTGCCGAGGCAAGTCCACAGCAATCACCACCTGAGAGACTTGTTGTGTGTGCGAGGTGGCCACAACGTGGAAATGATTGAGAAGAAACTAATGGCAGTCACAATGAACAATTAAAGAACTACAATCACAGGTTAATTCCATAAGAAAGAGGGAAAATGCTATCCGGCAACGTTTAGCCATTGTAGAAGACGAAATACGGAACCACCTGAATTTCCCACATGCCCCAAAATTAAGACAGAACGCATCATACAGCAGGCTATAGACCCAAGCTAACACTAGTACTGTGCAGAAGCAATTACTTTTTATGTCTCCTCCATCCCAGTGTACAGTGTACCACAAACTTCATAGTCTTATTTATAACAAAAAGAAGGCAACAAAGAATATCGATTTGGTCAAACAAGGCCGCTTTTATCTTATAACCCCACTACCCTAATTATTTTAGCAATAATAACAATGTAGCAAATCGTTGCCTTTATCCTAAGATAAAAATAATATTATATATACACATAATATTCAATAAGACTCATCATCCTAAAAATATGATGACTTATACACTGTAGAAAATGTTTTTTTAGCTACAGTGGGTCAAGTTTAACGAGTTACACCAAGAAGTAAGATGAACATTTTGCATAATATAGTGGCTGAGAAGATTGCGAAGACGTACCGTTGTCTCAGATTTCTTTCCGCTGCTACTGGCATTTGCCGGAATCGTTGGTCGAGAACTCGCGAAAAGGGGATGAACTGATCGAAAAGTCGACGGACGGGAGTAGCAGGAAAAAAAAGGCAAGCTGTATACATTTTTTTGAACGAGACGACTATAGTAGAGCCCAAGAGCGCCAGTAACCAAAATAAAAAAT